AAGCAAACTAAAAGATGAGAAATCTTATCACACCACGACAAATAATTGTGGGACAAATTTCGTTCGGTACAAAAATGTACCATTCCATAATTGATGCTAGAATCTAGACATAAGAGAATATGAGTTGATATCGACTTATATCAAAATAGAAACCATGGATTGATCTCATTACATCATTATACTGCTTTGCATTGCAGTCTTGCAGCGTTGCCTACACACCCACAAAACTACGACTTGTATAATTGATACATAAATATATATAATTGGTACGTAATTAGAATGTCCTATAGAACAATTTAAAGCATGCATATATATGCACTAATTAAATAATAATAAGAATAATTAGAATTATAATTAAGTATTTTAAAAATCACAGTACAGTTTATATTAAATAAATTGGTACACAAATATTTTTAATTTTAATAAACTTATAAGCAGCTTATCAATATTTTTTTTCGATTTTCTAATTAACCCTACGCCTCCATCCAAAAAATAAATAAAAAATAAAAATGAACCCTTGATGGTTCACAATATGTGAAGCTTGTCTGTGTCCAATGTCCCTTTGTCTTTCTATAAGGCCATATATAGATAGAAGAAAGGATGCTGTATCATATTATCATGCACGGAAATTTTTCTGTAGCCAAATTACAGCACAGGGAAGAGCAAATTGGCTATTCTGGTTCATTTAACGAAACATTTTATTTTGTTGTTTTATTATGTAGAGATCAGAAGTGAAATCCACATAATATAGAATCAAATTGGTTTTATTTTTAACTTTGAAACCTTAGTACCCTATTCTCGTCGTCCCTCATAAAATTATAATTGCCACAAACTCGTGCGAAGATAGAGTTTGGTTTGACATCGAGACTGCGAGACGAAAAAACATATATAATAATGGGATCTTGGATTATATCTAGCTAGTGTTTGGTTCAGATTTTTGGTTTACTTCCCCGTTTATCTGAGTTTGATATTGTAGGTTGTCTTTGTTTGATAGAGGAGATATGAAAATTTACCCCGTCAACCATTTTCCCCGGCCTTTGAAGTTCGCATGGAAAAACAAAACATTGTTCAACTTTACCATTTGTAACGTGGTATTTGTGTAAAACTAGATAAGTGGCCAAAAGTTATCTTATTATGTGACAAAATTACCCTCGGCAAAAAAATTAATTTAATGCTTTTTAATAAAATAATTACACATTTATTACAGTTTTGAGAATAATTACAGATCTATTACACAATGTGACGCCTCTTTTAGGCATCACATGTGGCGCCCCACTGGGGCGTCACTCATCGGGTGTTGACACGTGTCATTTTTTTTTCCAAAAAAAAAATTAATTTAATCATAAAACTTTTCAAGGCCATAACTTTTGACTCGGGTATCCAAATCAAGTAATTATTTTTTTGATTCCACATAACTCTTCGAGATCTACGCAATGACATCTCATTTGATATATTTTATTTCTCACAATCATAATTTAAATTTAAATCAGGTAATCCTTCTTCCTTAGAGATTTAGAATATTTATTTCATTATTTCCTTTATTAATACAGATTTCTCAAATTGATTTTTGAGTTTAAATCACAAATCAAATCTTTATTTTATTTTCCTTATTAATAATAATTGTTACTTTTAATTTAAATCACAAACCAAAATTTTTTATAATAAAAATAAATTTTTTTATTTTTTTAATTTAAATCACACATCAAATCTTGATTTATTTTTTATATTAAATCACAAACGCACAACTCAGAGGTTTCTGAGTTTAAAAATGTGACAGGTGTCAACACGTGTCAACACCTGACACGTCACTAATCACGTCTAAATTGTGTTTCAATCAAGAGGCAATCACGCCTAATTTAGGTAATTTTATTTTTGAAAAATATTCATAAGCCATCATTAATTTCAGACCACGAATAATAGCCCAGAAGCTTATAGCCTATGTAGCACCGATACCGACTAGGGACACCTGACACGATACGACACGACACTCCGACACGTAAATTTTAAAAAATATTAGATTTCGACTAGGACATGTTTTGATATCAAATAATATTTTTAATTTATGTAGTGTATATTATATTTAATATTCAATAATTTAACAAAAAATAAAATTAAACTTAAAATATTCATCAATTTTGCAAAGAAACATAAGATATCCTAAATATTTATATTAAATGGTAATTGTAATTCAACAAATCTAATAGTCGGAACTAAAAACTCAACGCAACGTAACCTTTGAACTTTTTATGAATTTATATAATGCGTGTTGGAGTGGCGGGGAGTGTCGGGAAGTGTCGAACAAGACACGTTAGAGTTTTTGAAGTGTCGGTGCTTCCTAGCTTATAGCATTAATCATTAATTGCAAAAATAATATTCTTCTTCCTTAGATATTTAGAATATTTAATTAATTATTTCCTTTATTTCTACAGATTTTTCAAATTGATTTTTTAGTTTAAATCACAAATCAAATATTTATTTTGTTTTCCTTATTAATAATTATTTTTATTGTTATTTTTAATTTAAATCACAAACCAAATTTTTGTTAGAATAAAAAAAATTATAAAAAAAATTAAAATCACAAATCAAAATTTTAATTATTATTTTTATATTAAATCACAAACCCAGAACTCTGAGGCTTCTGGGTTTAACCGCTCTTGTAATTACATTCTTGCAAATTAAAATTTGGTTTGTGAGAAATAAAATATATCAAACGAGATGATATTGCGTAGATCTCGTAAAGTTATGTTGAATCAAAAAAAGAATTACCTAATTTGGATACCCGAGTCAAAAGTTATGGCTTTCAAAAGTTTTATGATTAAATTAAATTTTTTTTTTGGAAAAAAATGACACATGTCAACACCTGATGAGTGATGCCCCATTGGGGCGTCTCCCCTTAGGGTGAGAAGCCTCAATGGGGCGTCACGTGTGACGCCCAAAAAGGACGTCACATTGTGCAATAGATCCGTAATTATTTCCAAAACTGTAATAAATGCGTAATTATTTTATTAAAAAGCATTAAATTAATTTTTTTGCCGATGTTTATACTAACAATTTTTTTTTACAAACTTTTACAAATTATATTATGTCGAATCGGTAATTTATGTAACACCGATATCGACACGTGACACGATACGACACGACACTACGACACGTTAAGTTTAAAAAATATTAGATTTTGACACGTTAGGACACGTTTTGATATTAAATAATATTTTTAATTTATGTAGTGTATATTATATTTAATGTTCAATAATATAACAAAAAATAAAACTAAACTTATAATATTCATCAATTTTGCAAAGAAACATAAGATATCCCAAATATTTATATTAAACTCAATAAAATGTTAATCCTAATCCAACAAATCTAATAGTTGGAACTAAAAACTCAACACAGTGCAACATTTGAACCTTTTTTAGAATTTTTATAACGCGTGTTGGAGTGTCGGGAAGTGTCAGAGTGTCAAGAAATGTCGGACACGACACGTCAGAGTTTTTGAAGTGTTGGTGCTTCATAGCTGACTCTTAAGTAGAGTATTACCGGTCAGACATAGTATAATTTGTAATTTTATAAAATAAAATTTTGTAAACCCATATTTAGGAAAGATTTGTGAAAGAAAATATTTCTCTATCACACTTGCACAAAATTAAATAGATTCTATTGTAAATAAAAGGAAGAAATCTTTTTTATGGGATTCATTTATTTTTATATAGATATGATAGATAAATATTTTTTTCAATAAAACCGGAAATATTAAACCCTATATTTGTAATCTTATTATAAATATGTCATTCATATATGTTTTTTATTTTCACACCCCTCCATCACATTCTCTCTCTCATATTTTTCTTTCTTTCTTTCTCTCTCTCTCGACCCTCTCTTACCACAGTTTCTCCAATTCAACCTTCATCCCTATGAAAGCTTAAGCTTTCTCAAAGCAGGTACCACTCTCTCTTTCTCTTTATGGTGTTTGCACTAAACTATTTTGTATGTGTGTGCGTGCTTTTGTTCCTCATAGGCTTTGCTTGTTCACGTTTTCTTTGTTTTCAATCTGCAAACTTGTTAATTGGTGTGTAAACATGAACACCCTTTTCTACAGGCTAGTTTTTTCACGTGGTCACAGAGCTTTCTTCTTCTTTTTCTTCGTCTTCAATGGAGGTAACACTGGGAATCTCCTTGTTCTTTTGTTCCTTTTGTTTCTACTTTTTTTTTCTGTGTGGCCACACCATCGTGCTTTTTTTCTTTCGTATGATTTCAATGTACATGTGAATGTGTTCTAGCAGTTTTTTTCGAGTGAATGACTCGAATTTTCTCGGATCATGTTGGATTTTTTTCTCTTGCTTGTCTTTTTCTTCGTGCTTTTGTTTTTATCTTTTAATATTTTATTTTTTATCTTTTATTTATTTACTTTTCTTTCTTCGTTGTTGATGTTTGAGTTTGGTTTCAGATAAGAATGTTGCTGGTTTTGTAACGATTGTTTTGGTTCTGGGAGTAATGTGTTTAATAGGTTGTCATGCATTTATGTCAAAGTCTTCAACTTTGGATTCCGGGTTGCTCCTGTTTCATTTTTGGGGTCAGGAAGTGGATCTGCTCGATTGTTTCGTTCTTAGTTTGCGTTTTGGTCCTCCATTTGTTCCTTACTTCTCAGAAATATCTCAACTCCAATTTTGTTTGATGGCAAAGTTTGTCCCTGTGACTTTTGAGTCGAGTTTGTTGGCACAAACTTGGAGAAACTGTTTTTAAATTTCTGTTTCTAAATGATGATGATTATTTTGGGATTTTTTTTAGTATCTGGGAGTAGTTTTTAATTTTTTAATGACACTATAAATATATATAAATATATATCCTTCTAGAATCTCAGAATCCGCCTACTTATCCTATTATAAATGAACTATCGATGCACGAATTTAGATATTCTCATGTGAAAAATTAGTCATATTATTTTATCACAACTACTTATTGATAATGAGATAAGAGAGAGAAAAGTAACTTTACCCATATTATCCATTTCCCTCCTTGGTTGTGCAATCATCATCTGCATTTGTCTCAAGCTCAATTAGCTCAGGATCTGAAGCAACTTTACCCACGACATCACAAATGGAATCAAAATAGTCATCCCCCTTCTCTAGTTCCCTTGAAAACTTGTTAACTCCAAGGACTAAGAAAATAAGAGGATGCTTAAAAGCAACAACATAATTATCATCACTTCCCAGCTTCTCAGAGTGCCGACATCTAGCAAGTAAACGAGGCCAAACAGCTTCCCAGAAGAGATCACCTGATCGAGCTTTACTTAATCTGAAATTGCCTGTTAGAATGTTTATTATTTCTGCAGGTGTAAGCCTTGAGCAATCTTTGCCAACTGGTTTTTCTGGACGAACAGAAAGTGCCTGAGTGGACTTCACAGAATCTGCAGTGAGACCTGTAAGATCTTTTTCTGTACCAACTCTAACTGCCTCAACAAGAGTATTGAGCCCAACTGAAGCCTTTAAAGTTAAAACATAATCTTCTAGACGCATTTTTCCTTCCACAAATGTCTTGGACACCTACCATGCAATTCAATTTAATTTTAGCAAAAACACATTCCTCAGTGAATAGGCAGTAACAAATGAAGAAGATATATAATGATGCAGCAACTTTTCAAGTTTAAGATAAAACGGTGACACATTGAAAAGTTCAATTAGATTGACAATGCCTGTTGATCTCACGGAAATTGTAGGCAATGAAAAGTGTATTACAAGCTTTCCATTTGGTAACCACTTGGCACAACATTTAGTCATCAGCATCAACAAATTCGTATGTGAATGTTATTTCACTATTGATTCAATATATCAAACATGTATTGGCAAAATATTGGTCAATTACATTCTAGATTGTGCAAGAAGCAAGTGGCCATGATGCATGAAGACATTGATCCAAACTCAGGAGATTCGTGTATCTACCTAATATTTTATGATTGAGACAAGAATAATGTCATGAAATGATGGAATTAAAAGGGCATAAACATAGGAAGAGTTTATGTAAATACCTCAAGTAATTTACTGCGGCATTCCTCTGGTACATTGGGTAGTAAACAAGATAAAAGCTCTTGTTGCCTTGGTGCTGTGAAATTTTTTTGCCCATGAATGCATTTTCTGCTTTTCATTTTCCTCAATTCAGACCACCTTTGATATCTCTCAGACTTATAAAATTTCCCATAGTAGAATGCCATTATATCCCCCATTGTCTTATTGCCAATAAATCTTTGCACTTTAACAAGATTCTTCCCAAATATATACAAGCCAAGGGTGAAACTGGCCTCTTCTATTTCATTCCAGGTGTCAGTTGAAGACCCAGGAACCAGACAGTGGCCTTTGCATTTATTCTCATGCACCCCAATCTTTGTTTCTTGTTGCACACTGCAATTTCCAGATGCCCCCAATTTTGTTCCATTGACCAATGTAATGTCAATGTCCTCGGGTTCTGGATTCAATTTATCATGGCCAGGACTATTCAGGATGCATTCTATTTTTGAAAATTCACTTGTTTTGGTAAATCCAATTGACTCGCATGCATGTTTCAGTGGACTATGCTTATTGTCCTCTACTTCATCCTTGATCCAAATTATACGAATTGGTAATCCTAATTGAGACTCATTGAAGGTACATGTTCTTTCTGCATTATGTGGCTTCTTTTGAAACAAAGAACAATCAGATTCTGACATTAAAGGTGGAATTTCGGCCTGGTACTGCTCACCCACCTTAGGAAATATGTTTGGATCACCAAAATCATCATAAATGTCAGAACAATACGGAGAAAATGCTTGCTCCTCAAAGCCATTAACTGGAACTGAATCCACCTGTCAATAAATAAATTTAAAGCAAATACTGGAAAAATATACTTCGTGTAATGAATTGACACCAAAATCTGAGGTCACCTTGTGGTCTTTTCATTAAAATAAATAAAAAATTCCAAAAGCATTTAGGATAATGGAACAAATCTTTTGGTGCTATTGTTGTACTCAAGGATTTGAATCTTCTCGTGTGTAAAACTGATCATGTTATTTGATTACAATTATTCATTTAAAAATTATATACTTTTCTCTCTCTTATCTCGTTATCAATAAGTAGTTGTGATCAAATAATATGACTAATTTTTCACATGAGAATATCTAAATCCGTGCATCGATAGTTCATTTATAATAGGATAAGTAGGCGGATTCTGAGATTCTAGAAGGATATATATTTATATATATTTATAGTGTCATTAAAAAAATTAAAAACTACTCCCAGATATTAAAAAAAAATCCCAAAATAATCATCATCATTTAGAAACAGAAATCTAAAAACAGTTTCTCCAAGTTTGTGCCAACAAACTCGACTCAAAAGTCACAGGGACAAACTTTGCCATCAAACAAAATTGGAGTTGAGATATTTCTGAGAAGTAAGGAACAAATGGAGGACCAAAACGCAAACTAAGAACGAAACAATCGAGCAGATCCACTTCCTGACCCCAAAAACGAAACAGGAGCAACCCGGAATCCAAAGTCGAAGACTTTGACATAAATGCATGACAACCTATTAAACACATTACTCCCAGAACCAAAACAACCGTTACAAAACCAGCAACATTCATATCTGAAACCAAACTCAAACATCAACAACGAAGAAAGAAAATAAATAAATAAAAAATAAAAATAAAATATTAAAAGATAAAAAGAAAAGCACGAAGAAACAGACAAGCAAGAGAAAAAAATACAACATGATCCGAGAAAATTCGAGTCATTGACACGAAGAAAACTGCTAGAACACATTCACATGTACATTGAAATCATACGAAAGAAAACAAAGCACGATGGCGTGGCCACACAGAAAAAACAAAGTAGAAACAAAAGGAACAAAAGAACAAGGAGATTCCCAGTGTTACCTCTATTGAAGACGAAGAAAAAGAAGAAGAAAGCTCTGTAACCACGTGAAAAAACTAGCTTGTAGAAAACGGTGTTCATGTTTACACACCGATTAGCAAGTTTGCAGATTGAAAACAAAGGAAACGTGAACAAGCAAAGCCTAAGAGGAACAAAAGCAAACACACACATACAAAATAGTTTAGTGCAAACACCATAAAGAGAAAGAGAGAGATAGAGAGAGAGAGTGGTACCTGCTTCGAGAAAGCTTAAGCTTTCGTGGGGACGAAGGTTGAATTGGAGAAACTGTGGTAAGAGAGGGTCGAGAGAGAGAGAAAGAAAGAAAGAAAAATATGAGAGAGAGAATGTGATGGAGGGGTGTGAAAATAAAAAACATATATGAATGACATATTTATAATAAGATTACAAATATAGGGTTTAAGATTTCTAGTTTTATTGAAAAACATATTTTATCTATCATATCTATATAAAAATAAATGAATCCCATAAAAAAGATTTCTTCCTTTTATTTACAATAGAATCTATTTATTTTTGTGCAAGTGTGATAAAGAAATATTTTCTTTCACAAATCTTTCCTAAATATGGGTTTACAAACTTTTATTTTATAAATTACAAATTATACTATGTCTGACCGGTAATACTCTACTTAAGAGTCGGCTATGAAGCACCGACACTTCAAAAACCCTGACGTGTCGTGTCCGACACTTCTTGACACTCTGACACTTCCCGACACTCCAACACGCGTTATAAAAATTCTAGAAAAGGTTCAAATGTTGCATTGTGTTGAGTTTTTAGTTCCAACTATTAGATTTGTTGGATTACGATTAACATTTTATTGAGTTTAATATAAATATTTGGGATATCTTTTGTTTCTTTGCAACATTGATGAATATTATAAGTTTAGTTTCATTTTTTGTTAAATTATTGAACATTAAATATAATATACACTACATAAATTAAAAATATTATTTAATATCAAAACGTGTCCTAACGTGTCAAAATCTAATATTTTTTTAAAATTAACGTGTTGGAGTGTCATGTCGTAACGTGTCACGTGTCGATATCGGTGTTACATAAATTACCAATTCGACATAATATAATTTGTAAAAGTTTGTAAAAAAAAATTGTTAGTATAAACATCGGCAAAAAAATTAATTTAATGATTTTTAATAAAATAATTACGCATTTATTACAGTTTTGAATATAATTACGGATCTATTGCACAATGTGACGCCCCTTTTGGGCGTCACACATGACGCCTCATTGAGGCGTCTCACCCTAAGGGGAGACGCCCCAATGGGGCATCACTCATCAAGTGTTGACATGTGTCATTTTTTTTAAAAAAAAAAAAGTAATTTAATCATAAAACTTTTGAAGGCCATAACTTTTGACTCGGGTATCCAAATTAGGTAATTCTTTTTTTGATTCAACATAACTTTACGAGATCTACGCAATGAAATCTCATTTGATATATTTTATTTCTCACAAACCTAATTTTAATTTGCAAGAAAGGTATTACAAGAGCGGTTAAACCCAGAAGCCTCTGAGTTCTGGGTTTGTGATTTAATATAAAAAACTAATCAAAATTTTGATTTGTGATTTAAATTTTTTTTATTATAACAAAAATTTGGTTTGTGATTTAAATTAAAAATAAAAATAAAAATTATTATTAATAAGGAAAACAAAATAAAGATTTGATTTGTCATTTAAACTAAAAAATCAATTTGAAAAATCTGTAGAAATAAAGGAAATAATTAAATAAATATTCTAAATATCTAAGGAAGAAGGATATTATTTTTGAAATTAATGATTAATGCTATAAGCTAGGAAACACCGACACTTCAAAAACTCTAACGTGTCGTGTCCGACACTTCCCAACACTCCCCGACACTCCAACACGCATTATATAAACTCAAAAAAAGTTCAAAGGTTGCGTTGCTTTGATTTTTTTGTTTCAACTATTAGATTCGTTGAATTACAATTACCATTTAATATAAATATTTAGGATATCTTATGTTTCTTTGCAAAATTGATGAATATTTTAAGTTTAATTTTATTTTTTGTTAAATTATTGAATATTAAATATAATATACACTACATAAATTAAAAATATTATTTGATATCAAAACGTGTCCTAACGTGTCGAAATCTAATATTTTTTAGAATTTACGTGTCGGAGTATCGTGTCGTATCGTGTCACGTGTCCCGTGTCGGTATCGGTGCTACATAGCTTCTGGGCTATTTTTCGTGGTCTGAAATTAATGATGGCTTACGAATGTTTTTCAAAAATAAAATTACCTAAATTAGGCGTGATTGCCTCTTGATTGAAATCCAATTTAGACGTGATTGGTAACGTGTCAGGTGTTGACACCTGTCACATTTTTAAACTCAGAAGCCTCTGAGTTCTGCGTTTGTGATTTAATATAAAAAAATAAATCAAGATTTGATGTGTGCTTTAAATTAAAAAATAAATTTTTTTATTTTTATTATAAAAAAATTTGGTTTGTGATTTAAATTAAAAGTAACAATTATTATTAATAAGGAAAATAAAATAAAGATTTGATTTGTGATTTAAACTCAAAAATCAATTTGAAAAATCTGTATTAATAAAGAAAATAATTAAATAAATATTCTAAATCTCTAAGGAAGAAGGATTACCTGATTTAAATTTAAATTATATTTGTGAGAAATAAAATATATCAAATGAGATGTTATTGCGTAGATCTCGAAAAGTTATGTGGAATCAAAAAAATAATTACCTGATTTGGATACCCGAGTCAAAAGTTATGATCTTTAAATTTTTTTTGATTAAATTAATTTTTTTTTTGGAAAAAAAATGACAAGTGTCAACACCTGATGAGTGACGCCTAAAAGGGGCGTCACATTGTGCAATAAATCTGTAATTATTCTCAAAACTGTAATAAATGCGTAATTATTTTATTAAAAAACATTAAATTAATTTGTTTGCCTATAAAGTATAAACATCCCTTAAGTATAATATAAGATATTGGAGAGAGGGTATATTATGGCCCAAGAGCAATTACTACGCGTGTGAGTGTTTTTGACACATGGACTTTCTTTTTAATGATTCACATCCTACTATACGCAGAGAAAGAATTTTTTATAATTATCAGTCAAATCACCTGCCTCAACTCATTAACCTGGGATTTAAAAATAAAACACCTAAAAATTTAAACTAAATGAATCAATTGATACAGTTTAAAACTCTCTGATTCGATTATTAAATAAAATTATTTGGAATTACTGACAAAAATTATTCCCTTAAGTCTTAGCTTATTCGCTTTAAATAAAATATGAATTTATAATCTCGAAATGGATAATACTTAATGCTAAATTATTAGCTTCCTTCTTAAAGATATTAAAAGGGATAAAATCCTATAAAAGGTTAAACTTTTACAAGTTCATATTATAGAAAAAAATTATAGTTTTTTAATATACATATAAAGAGCATGCGCGAGCGTGTGTATAACGGATGATATAAAAGCTTGTATATAGAGGATAGTGAATCCACAATATAAAAAGAAAAAATATTAATTTGTTAATTTTTATTGAATGGAAAACGTAACATTTATGATATATAATTAATGTAAATTTTATAATAGTCACAAAAGAAAACAAGTTAAGTCCAACAAACCAACTCACATAATCAATCAAAGTTTTGTTTGGATGTAATAAGCCAAGGTGAAAATTAAGGTATATGACCCTAAAAAATTTGACCACACTGATAAAGCATCTTTATAATATGTTGCTTAGATATATAATTACAACTTTATATATATTTACCTCTGCCAAAGTAAAAGATAATAATCATGGTAAAGGTTGGTTCCATTATAAGAATCAAACTAGTTCACTTATACTTAGTGTTCGGTTCTATTGAACCGTATAATGATACCTCAAGGGTATGCGCTCAGAGATATCCTATGGATAGGTATCTTGGTTGGCTTATAGCCAATATCTCAATCACTGCGCACAAGCAATATGCTTATAGCCAAGACGTGAGTGTGTGCACAGTGTTAGCAATAATAGTAAATAAGTTCAAAAGTGTATACCTGGGGTCTTTAACCTCTTATTTATAAGGGTTACCTCTTGGGCTTGAGTAGATCTTCAGTTGTAGTAGGATTTAACTTCCTTTCTGTTGGGATCGGGACTCTATCCTTAGCTGGCTTCCTGTTTTATATTGATAGGATAATTGAAGAATTATCATTTAAGGGATCCTTGGGTAGGTGGTTAGGATATGTAAATATTCTATAACAGTTGCCCCCCCAGCCCGGCAGTTCAGAAGCTCGGACTGCTGGGGTGCCTAAGTTTGATTGATAGGTCAACCTTACCGAGGTACTATGATCCTGCCTTGGGTCTTGTGTGACTATCTCTTCTGAGTTTAGCTTTTTATATTGGCTTCTTTTCTCTTGAAGTCTCTGAGTGGTGAGGCAGTGTTTGCCTTTTTTTGTTGACTTTGAGCTCGGCTTCTCTTGCCGAGTTTTTTTAGTTTTGACTAGGCTTATAGTCAGTCTTTTATATAGGCGTTCGCCTAAGTTTTAGGATGGCATTTCGTGCCTCTTTAGTAATTAACCCGACTTTGCACTTCGTGGCGTTAAGTGTCGTGGTTCCAGATTTGGCTCGGTTTCGCATACCGAGATCTCTATTAGCATGGGTTTGACCTTTTGCAAAGGTGTATTGTACTTTAGGGAGC